GGACAATGAGGATGGAGAACAGTGTAGGGGGAAGTAAGTGTAGCCGTCAATGCCTGTTGGAGGAGAAACTCAGGACAGGCTGACTCGGAAGGCACTCCCAGTACACATCATGATACCTTGTCTTCGGTGCTCCAGATTCCTGGCTCAACTTCTGTCCACTCAGGAGGTGAGCACCACCCCCCCCAACCTTATTGCTGCCAAAACAGGTTCTAAGAAAGAGCTGAAATGGACAGTGTGACATTCTCAAAAGTACTTGGTTTGCAGGCCTAAGACCTGGGTGAATCAGACGCTGGCGAGGTACTTCATATCTGTGTGATTTTACGTAAGTCATCTACTCAAAAGTTGTTTATTCTTTGAGCCTCAGTTTTCTTTGGGTCTGTTTCCTACGCTGCAGCATGTATTTTAAAGTGGTTTTAAATTGCTGTGCGCAGTGTAAGATGTGATCATTAGTGTGAATATAGGTTGTGCTACCTTGCGTAGAGTTCTTTTAATTTGGGGAATTTCAATTGTAAACATTCTACTAAATTCATTGAGCATTCTTTGCAGGTGAGAGGGGTTTTTTTTCTTCTCTGGAGAATTATAGGTATGTAAGAACTGGAGAAACAAAGTAATTCAGGAGGAAGTGTTTTGTTGGTTGGAAAAGGAATTTTCCACCAGAGGAACCAGAAAAGGTATTATTTTGCCAGTAGGGCAGAATGTCCATTCTCTATCTAAAATAACAAGATGAAAGGAATAATTTTGTTCTTAGGAACGAAGAGAAATGCTGATATGAAACAAAGTATCAATAGTCTTTGACATATAGCTTTGGCATTCCAAAGCTCCAATCCATCATTCCCGTTTTCCATGTAGTATTAGTACATTTAGCAAAGGGGAGCATGGTGTTCAGCCCCATGTTCTTCATCTGACTCAGCCCAGTTTTGGTCAGTAAACTAATTCCCACTTTTCAGATAGGGAATAAAAAATCCTTTATGCTGAAAAGGGGCTATATGGTCACAAATAAGGGAAGACTATAAAGTGCCATTAGATTTGGGAGTGGAATTTGCTATGCAATGCTATTCTCGAGCCTTCTACACTATTGTGGTAATTGAGTCACCAGCATCATTCCTTCAGGGACTGAAAGGAAGCTCAGTTATTTAAAAAATAATAAAACAGGTAACAAACAAAACAAATAGAGCAAGTATCAGGAAATACTAGTCTGAATATAACAAGCACAAATTTAAAAAAAAAAAGTAAAATTGGATTAAGTCATTGATCACTGTAGCCCTGCCCTTTATGGCTGTACACAATTTATGGGGATTATACCCAATTTTTAGTTTCCACCTTTGTGAACAGCAGAAAGCTTAGAAATGTAAAATTATTCAGATGACAGTCCTCACAAGATTCTGTGCATTTCCCTGTTCCCAGAAGCATGGCGATGAGGGGCCGAGTGCCACTGGTCTCTCAGTCTTGCAGGTATGGACTAGTTGACAGGAAATTCAGAAGAACCACCCAAGGGAAATATATTCATAGAAATTGCTTTGTCTGTTTTCTAATGAGCTTTTTAAAAGGAATGTGCAGTTTGGATTTGTTTTGTTTTGTTAGTTGAATACTTACGCTAAAGTTCCCTACACATTCATTGCAGTGCAATGTCAAGAGGAATAAAAATATGTCGTTCGTTTGTGTCTTTTCCCCACCAGGTCATTTGAATTGCTCTTTGTTGTACCTTCCTCCCGCTGAAGGTTGTTTTTTCCCAGCTGTGGGTGGTAAATGAATCTGATCCAACAACTTGGGAATGGGGATAGAGGCAAAATTAGCAAGAGCCCTTGAATCCTGGGTCAGAATCCGGCCGTACATAGACACGAAGGCTCAATTCCCAGCAGCTTCATGATCCAAAACATCTGTTTCTATATTTGGCATAATTCCATTTTTTTTTTTTATTTGTAAAATTGTTCCCATCTTTAAAAACACTTTAAAAATAAAAGAACTCCCCATCCTGTCTCCTCTATCCAACCCCCCCAACACATGCCTCTGTAATTACCTGGTGTAGCCTGTGTGTTTAATCAGCTGAAATGGAGGAGGTTGCCTACATCTGATTTCAATCTGACGGTTGCGCTGAGTCCCGGGCAGTTACCACTGTTGTGTCTGCCAAAATGTGCCTCTGCCAGAGAAGAATACCCTCACACCAGGGTGTATTTTAAAGAAGCCACTCGACTTAGATAGATATTTAATTTCCTTAAAATATTGTTTTGGATCTGAGTCTCTGTTCTCTAATTGGAATTTTCTGCTGTCATTTAGTAATTTCAAGTATTTGCTGCCTTTGTTCCAGGATCCACCTGGCATTCTTCAAAAAGTGACTAAACCGCCCTAACTGGTTTAGCTCAGTGGATAGAGCATCGGCCTGCGGACTGAAAGGTCCCAGGTTCGATTCAGGTCAAGGGCATGTACCTTGGTTGCGGGCACATCCCTAGTAGGAGGTGTGCAGGAGGCAGCTGATCGATGTTTCTCTTCCATCAATGTTTCTGACTCTCTATCCCTCTACCTTCCTCTCTGTAAAAAAATCAATAAAATATATATATATTTTTTAAAAGTGACTAACTTCCAGGAAGTAAACTTCACTCTGAGTGTCGTGTCACCTCACAGCTCCTAAGGGCCAGGCCCACGTTTGTCCACGACTTTACGGGGTCATTTGTACATGCAAATGCAATGGAATTAATTTTGAAGAAGAAGGGCTTCAAGTTTTGCAATGAAACCTCGGATCAGAAGTACACATCTTTTGAGTTATTTTCCTGGTTAAATTAAAGTAGAAAAAAAAATTTGTGCCAGTACTGATTGTTAATTGTAATTTTATTTTATTTCATGATGTGAACATGTATTTCCTCAGGTATGTTCCTTTAAAACACCTCCCATGGACCAGCGTTTGAGATCTTGAGGTTTTTCTGGATTTTATTTTCCCCCTTCCTGGGGCCATAATTTCTGAATAATAAAGAAATAAGAATGTAGAGCTGAGCTCTTTCTAGAAGTTTTAAAGTCGAGTTCTGGAGTTCCTAGGCTTTAAGCACGTGAAACTCCAGAAGGCCCTTTATTTCCTAGCAAAGTTAGGAGGACTGCTAAACATTTCTCTGCATGTTTTGCATGGTGGTAACGCCACACATGTTAGGGTGATGGGCTGACCTTCCACTGGGATATTCAGAGTAGGCTCACGAACCCACCAGAAGCCACACAACCAGCATGCTTAAAGTAAAACAAGTGCAGGGCACACAGTGGAGAGGTTTTTAATATTCATATATATTAGGACTTTTAAAAAATGCATTTTAATTGTGACACAGCCAACCCCAAAAGTAAAAGAACTCTACAGAAGGTCACACAACTTGACTTCACACTAAAGATCATTACATTGCGCTCAACCGAAGTTTGTTTTGCAAGAAAATAACCAAAACCAAGGAAGATGAAGACAAAAAGATGACTGGCCCTAACTGGTTTGGCTCAGTGGATAGAGCATCGGCCTGCGGACTCAAGGGTCCCAGGTTCGATTCTGGTCAAGAGCATGTACTTTGGTTGCGGGCACATCCCCAGTAGGGAGTGTGCAGGAGGCGGCTGATCGATGTTTCTCTCTCATCAATGTTTCTAACTCTCTATCCCTCTCCCTTCCTCTCTGTAAAAAATCAATAAAATATATTTTTAAAAAAGAAAAAAAGATGACTGCACAGGGCTAAGATCCCCTTATACAGCATTTGCAATGGGGTTGGTCTTGCCAAAGGAACTACTGTAGGAAATTTAAAGTGGGCTTCCTGAGGTTTCACCCCTTCCTAGGGTGCCTGAGGGACTTTGCCTTTTAGCTCCTCCCCAAATCTCCTTTCTTCCCTGCGATCTGTCCTATGCAGGTGCTCTTCCGTCTCTAATACGTTGTGCTCTGATTCATGATGTGACTATTTCAAAGTTTAAATCTCAGAGGCAACCTCATTTGAGCTTATTTCACTTCTTGAAAGCACTGACTATTAGCATCGGGCTTGCTAAGGTCTAAGTTTTTCGTTTCCTCCACTTTTCTGACTACACAGAGTCGCTAAGCTAGAAGGAACTCCATCAACTGCAATGCATTGTGTGTAAATAAAATGCCTTATTATTTATGCAGTTTTAGTATCTCTGGTTTTTCAAAGTTAAATGAAGTATACTCAGATTCATTCAAATATTTATTGAGCTCCTGCTATATATATCAGGCACTGTTCTGGGCGCTTAGAGAACAAGCAAACCAAACTGTTTGAGTTTGCTTATCAGGTACACTGACCGACGGGGTGCAGTGGGGACAACTAAATGCACAGAGAGGTTAAAGGGCCTTATCTCAATCTCTCGTCTGACAGAGCCGGGAATAGAATACTCTATCTTCGTTACATTTCTTTGAGTCTCATATAGGGTTCTTGTTGGCCCTTTGTAATTTCTGTTCTATCTGGAAGGAAGATGCCTCTGCCAAGAGCGATATATTTGTGTGCGACCATGGCGGTACTGGTATTAGATGGGAAAATGCGGTAGATACAGCAAACCTAAAAGGAAGGGACTTTACAGTTAAAGCAGAAAGCAGCTCCAGCCAGTGTGTGAGATGTCACAAGAGTGGTTGGCAGAGAAGTTTGGGCAGCCATCACACCAAAACCTGCATCTCTGTGTGTTTAGTGTGTATACACACATACGCCTGGAGTTTTCATTCTTACCGCAGAGTTCTTGAAAATAAGGCGGCAGGCCCTAGCTGGTTTTGCTCAGTGGATAGAATGTCGGCTCGGGTTCGATTCCGGTCAAGGGCACATGCCTGGGTTTTAGGCTTAATCCCCAGTAGGGGGCGTGCAGGAGGCAGCCAGTCAGTGATTCTCTCATCATTGATGTTTCTCTCTCTCCCTCTCTCTTCCTCTCCGAAACCAATAAAAATGTATTTAAAAAAAAGAAAAGAGGGTAGTGCTGCCCAGCACAGTCCCCCAGACTTTGCTTTGGACAGTGGATTCATTTGGGATTTTGCTTTGTTTTGCCTTCTCCCTTAGAGTTGCTGGAACTGTGGCCGTAAAGCGAGTGAGACCTGCAGCGGCTGCAACACGGCTCGATACTGCGGCTCGTTTTGCCAGCACAAAGACTGGGAAAAGCACCACCACATCTGTGGACAGACCCTGCAGGCCCAGCCGCAGGGGGACACGCCCGCCGTCAGCTCCTCGGTCACGCCCAGCAGCGGGGCCGGGAGCCCGATGGACACCCCACCAGCAGCCACCCCGAGGTCAACCACCCCGGGGACCCCGTCCACCATAGAGACAACCCCTCGCTAGATGTGAACTCCGAACTGTCCAAGGAAACACAACACAACCAACACGAAACCAATTCTTCATCCTCAGATGCTCGAAGTTCTTTTTGTTTGTTTGTTTGTGTGTAGATGAACTTTCCTATTGCAGTCCTTGAGCAAGAGAGAACCTACCCGGTAGGAAGACAGAGGGCCAGTCACGGGTCGTAAGGACTTATTGTGGATAACAAAGATAATCTCCTCCTTAGAGAACTGAAAAGAGAGCAGAGAATATAACATGAAATGATAGATTTGACCTCCTCCCTGTTATTCGCCAGTAGCTGGGATTTTAAACTAGATGACCTCATTAACCGATGCTTTACCAAACAGCAAACCAAGAGATTGCTAATTGCTGTTGAAAGCAAAATGCTAAGATTAAGACACAGTGTTCCTGATATATAATAATGGGGGGGAAAAAAAGAAAAAAAAAAGAGGAAAACCCTCCAGGGCATGAGCATTGGCTACAGTGGTAGACGTTTTAACAAGAAGATGAATGGCGTCCATGGGTTGCTAACTGAACTCTGAAGACCCGCTACAAAACACACATATGTGCAGCATATTGGAAGGAGAAACAGATGTTCGTTTTTCCCCCCACCCCCCAGTTTCTGAAAAGAAATAATATCCAGGTCAACAGAATGAAAAATGAAAGATGATTTGCAGTGGGATGTATGGATACAGCAGCAAGAGAAAAAAAAAAAAAAGCCCTAATACAAAAAGCTCCTTTACACACACACACACACACACACACACACACACACACACACACAGGTTAAGAGATTCAGCCTGCAGTTAATTAGCATTCTGGCAGCTCTGACATCAGCCGGCTGCCCTAACTAACCCATTCCACGTTTATTCACTTTTTCAAGACTCCACAGAATAAGACATTGGGTCTATTCCAGCTCATTCATTTTTATATTGAAAAATACTTTTTAAAAAATGGTGGCTCCAGCTCCAGCCCCTTTCCAAATTTTCAACCCTGCCCTGTTTAGATTTTTTAATTAAAGACGAGTAGTTCTCTTCGTGTGAAAACACTTCTGTCCTGTGAGGTTTCCAATGGTGTTTTTCTTGTAAATGTGTTGGACAAATGTGAAGATGCATTGTAGTTTAACCATACGCCCGCATTTAGTCTCTTTATTCCTAGTTGATGAGAAACCTGTATCTTTCTATGCTGCTTTTATATCTATATGTATTAGTGATATTTCTCTAGTAGTTCGGGGGGGAAAAAGACTTTTTTTGGTTGTCCTCAAGAAAAGAAAAAAGCAAAGAAAAAAAATCTTTCGGAGCTGCTATTTCACTCTCTTCTAGGATTTTTTTTCCTGAAAACCAGCATGTTCATGGAATGCTAACCTTGGTGTTTTTGTAAGAGGGGATGTACATAAATGTATTTTGCACTGTCACATGACTCCCTAGGCATGCTTTTTTTTTTTTTTTTTTAAGCAAACTTCGAATATGCTAGAGCCATTTCACCAAGTTTAGCTGTAGCATAGAGTAGTAGTGGATTTTTTCCTTTTTTTTTTTTTGTTGAAAAATCATTATTGGGACTTTTTTTTAAAAAAAAAAAATAACAAGATAATCTACTTTAAAAAAAAAAGACAGTGCATGTATATTGCTGTAAGGTTGTTTAAGTATTTCTAATTTTACAAAAAAATAAAATAAAATGTTAACTCATTAGAGTCCAAATGCTGAGGTGTAGACTGACAGCTTTAAGTGCTGAATGCCAGGTTACAGTTTTCTTACAAAAGGGAAGTCCGCCAAAGACTGATCTGATGGACCAAAAGCCGCATCTTGAAAAGCACCAGGACTACTTTCCAAATGCTCAGCAGGTTAACTGTGTTCAGCAAGGTCTCGTGTGAATCCATGAACCCTTCCTTGTCCAGGGTCCAGACCAGAACTACTTGTTAGTTTTGAAACCAGTAGCCCAGGATATGGTTGTGTGCTTCAGGGGGAGCAGTGCTGCAGGCTGTGTAAACAACCAAAGTTTTCGAGGCTGGGAAGACCCTTCTCCACGCACATACGCACACCAGGCATTGACTTAAAAATCTAAAGTGATCCATTAGGGTTTCTTTTGTGTGTGTGTGTGTGTGTGTGTGTGTGTGTGTGTGTGTGTGTGTTTTGTTTTTAATGTAGCCCTTGGATTCCATTTTAAACGGCTTTTCAGTATCTGCATAGAGGCAATCCTAAATCTGTTTGCTTTACGTCCTCTAAACCTAAACTTTTTTTTAGCATTCCCCCCACCCCCGGTATTTTCCTATTCAAGTTGGCTTTACTTTTGTTCGGGTGCCGTTGTTTTTGTGTTTGTTTGTTTGTTTTTAATGGCTTTTTTAGTGTAGAAAGTTCTGATGAGCAAATATATACATCTATCTGCATGTCGGAAGTCCATCTGCCAGCACACCTGCTTAAAGGGAAAGAAAGCACATAACCAGGCTCTGAATGGGTGATCTTTTATCATGGTGCTCCCAGAATCCTTTGACCTCACTCTGCTTTCTAGTCTGCTTATGACACTGGACGGTCCTTTCTTACAGAGCTATTATAAGTTCTAGGCTACGAAGGGTTAAATAATCCCCCCCACCCCCCTCCAAAAAAAAAAAATGAGGTATGTCATACCCACAGGTCATTATCTCTAGAAGCTGTGATGTATGTGAAACAGCACTGTTATCTTAACACTCGTGTGTAAAATAAGGATTAGTAACAGTACGTCTCATCACTTTTAATTCAGGGCACCCTGAGTGAAAACGAATAAGAAAAAAAAAAAATCCCTAACTCTGAGCTCTATCTCTGACTCCTCCTCCTTCTCTCCCTCTTCCTCCTCCTCCTCTTCCTCTTCCTGTTTTGCTACATTCTCCTCAGTGGCAAAAAAGTTTCACTCTACCTCTTGACAGCATGTATATTGCACCAGTAGCTAACAAAAAACTGGTCGACTAGACAAACCAAATGGGCACAAAAGAACCAGGATACCAAAAGTTAAGCTCATACAGCTGCAAACCATATCACTCCTTGGTAACAATGCAGACCTCATAAACCTAAAAAAGAGAAAGAAAAGAAAAAAACTTTCCTTACTTTCCTTTCCTGCTTGTCACGTATGTACAGGCCACGTGAGAGTATAATTTGTAGGTATAATGCATTTTTAAAAAGTTATCTTCCTTGGATAGAATTGAATGGTGGTCGCAGATAGAAATAGGGCGTCCTCTATCTCTTATTTCTGTCTCTGACTCTTTTTTTTTTTTCTTTTTCTCTGTCATGAGACTGTGTGTGACAGGGCGACCTGTCTTTTAAATTTTTTTTTTCCCTAACTTTTTTTTTTTTTAAACGTGTAGGTGCATGTCTTGGGGATTTAAAAATTTCAAGGCTGGTTTACTTATGCAAAGCATGCCTATGTCTGAAATACTTAGGGAAAGAAAGTGACTCCGTGTTGTCCGAATTCCTCAAGGGACAGAAGAAGAAAAAAATTGGAGACTGTTGAAATGCAGATTTGAAGTAACTTTTTTTTAAAAAATATTATTTTGGGTTCTGCGACATTCTTGTGAAAAAATTAAAGTTGTTGTGCAATACTTAATTCAGACATGTACCACAAGTGAATGGTAGACTAACACTGGGGGGTGGGGTCTAGGCATCATGCTTTTGTCAGCATACTCTTGAGCTTTTAAGTCTACTATGTCTGAACTGTGGTTTCTTGTTTATCCTTTTCTCCTTAGTTGGACTGTAATGTATGGTCTGTCAACCTGTGAATCTTTAAAGTATGATTCAGGTATTGTTGTATTCTTTACTGTGTAATAAAGTTTTAAAAAAAACCCTGTATTCTCTGCCTCCCTTACCTTGTGTGTGCCATGGCTGTCCAGCCAGTGGCCCTGGCCCGGGAGCCCAGCCTCGGGGGCGCTGAAGCACGTCTGTGGAGCGTCCTCGGCGACCACAGGACGTGGCTCATCCATGGTGGATGCGTAGAGGAGGATGTCAGGATGCTGCACACGTCAGGTTAGTTCCGGGGGGATGCTACCCAGGCGAGAGGAGCTGGAAGAGTGTGAGGGGAATCCGTCGTCAGAGGGAAGAAGAGCTTGGTTTGCTTAGTTGAACTGCAAATGAGAAATGCGTGCCTACACCTTTCCAGAGGGGGTCGTGCTGACCTTACAGGCTCTGGCTGTAGGGTTGCTCAGCTCCCCCAGACCCTCCTGACTGGCAGGCCCCCTGGTGCAGAGCTGGCTTCCAGCTGCCTTGTCCACCATGCTTCTCGAGTTAAATTCGCCAGCATTTGCACTCTTCTTGTTTTTATTATTTTTTATTTTATATTTGTATTGATTTCAGAGAGGGGTGGGGGTGGAGAGAAACATCAGTGATGAGAGAGAATCATTGATGGGCTGCCTCCTGCATGCCCCCAACTGGAGATCATCAAGCCCGCCACCTGGGCATGTGCCCTGACAAGGAGTCGAACCAATGACCTCCTGGTTTGTAAGTTGATGCTCAACCACAGAGCCACGCTGGCCGGACTTCACTCTTGTGTTCGTACATCATTAAACATCCACATATTTTTTTCACGCTGTAGTTATAAAGTTGGTTGGAGTCTGAAGCCCCAACCTCTCTGCTCCTGTTAATTTTTATGTGTAATTTTCATGACACAAGATTTTGTTTCTTGGTTTTGTTTCTCTTGGTGCTTTTTTTTTTTTTTTTTAATTATGTATTGCATTGTAGCGGAAATACCTCTTCCTCCCGAATGTTCCCAACTTTCTGGGCCAAAAAGGTGGTTGCAAAGAACAAGAGGACAGAACACGCAAACACCTGTGTGTAGAGAAGGCATGACGGTGGGTTCGGGTTATGGGGGAGGCTCTCCCGAGACCATCTATTCCGCTGCTTCAGCAAGTCCCTGTCCCAAGGCCTGGTTCCCTAACTTGTCTTCCTGGGAAATGGGGCTTTTCTCACATTTCTTACTCCGGGAACTTGGCAACACACACACGGAAAAATAATACAAAACTAAATTTTAAATTAATAATGGACATCTCCCTATCCCTGCCTCTCCCTGCCCCCGCCCCCACCATTGTGATAGTTAGGATTGGATACTTAATGCAGTAGTTAATGATTTATTTTCCATAAACACAGGCCATCCAGACCTAAGTTGCTTAGCCTTTAATGCAGCGGTTCTCAACCTGTGGGTCGCGACCCCTTTGGGGGTCAAACAGCCCTTTCACGGGGGTCGCCTAAGACCATCGGAAAACACATATATAATTACATATTGTTTTGTGATTAATCACTATGCTTTAATTATGTTCAATTTGTAACCATGAAAATATATCCTGCATAACAGATATTTACATTACGATTCATAACTGTAGCAAAATTACAGTTCAGTAGCAATGAAAATAATTTTATGGTTGGGGGTCACCACAACATGAGGAACTGTATTAAAGGGTCATGGCATTAGGAAGGTTGAGAACCACTGCTTTAATGTGTTAATATATCTTTTTTTCTCTTCAGAATAAAATGGGCCAGAAACTAGCAGATAAGAAAGAAATGAGACCCAATAAAACAGTTCCCTTCTAAGTAGTTGTTGAACACATCACCTCTGTGATGCTTTCATACAAGTGGATATGTTGGACAAATAGGAAATGCTTTGTAGATTACATGAAAAATAGGAGCAAAATCCAAATGGTAGTGGACACCATTTTTTAGCTGTGTTAATGATGTTTGGTTGCTGTGAAAGAACGTAGAGCTATTTTTCTGAAATGGGTGGGGAGGGAATGAACAAAGGGGTGCTTTCTGCATGGGTGTTGATACCCGTACTCCAAGGTGAATAAATAAAGTTGTATTTGCTCAAACCTGTCCCTGTGCAGTCTATTCTCAGTCATACTGGGGAAACTGAGTCAGACAAATTAGTACAGAAAATGTTTTCTTTCCCAGGCCACTTCTCCATATAAGCAGGGCTGTAGGGCCAACGTAATTTGGGGATTTGCTTCTGGAATGTTCAGCATCATAGAACATTTGTTGAAAACACTTCAAGATTATATACAGGAAGCCTGTGAGAACTCCTTAAGATGAAGATAATATCATTGTTGATTTTATTCTAATAAAAATTATTTGGGGCCCTACCCAGTTTGGTTCAGTGGGTAGAATGTTGGCCTGAGGACTGAAGGGTACCGGGTTCAATTCCGACCAAGGGCACATACCTGGGTTGCAGGCCCTGGTTGGGGCAAGTGCAGGAGGCAACCAATTGATGTGTTTCTCTCACATCGGTATTTCTCTCTGTCCTTCCCTCTCTCTTCCACTCTCCCTACAAGTCAGTGGGAAAATATCCTAGGGTGAGGATTACAAAAAGAAAAAAATGTATTTGGAGAGAAAACTCCTGATGGGTAAGAGAAGGAATATCTGCTTTTTGTTCTTAAGGCTAATGTTCTTGTGTTGGAGTTCTGTTTTCCACTGTCAAGAAAGAGATCAGTTACACCGTGAGAATCTGAAATTGGGGGAGAACCTGGCCGCCTGGAAGCCATGGCTGTACCTGCACAAAATCAGTGGCAACGGGAGCCCTTTCCTGGGCCTAACGCGGGCCAAGCACCCAGTTAGCACTCAGTAAATATTTCCTGTAAACACAGCCTTGAGTCTGCAGCTAGAAGAATGCGGTGCCAGCTTTTCCAGAAATGAACAAATTGGCTGGGGGTACGGAAAGCAAGGGGACTGGTTTAACCGGCTGGAGCAGTGTCTTGAAGGCGGAAGATTAAATCCCGTGCAGCTTGATCAGAGGGTGATGAGGAGGCAGCATGGCCACTGTTTACCAACATCAGAGGGCACGAATGCCGAAGGGCGGGGAACTGTTCAATTCACCGTTTGACGGGGTCACTGTGGTTATTGGCGACAAACACACAGTTCATGATTACAGTTCTCTGTTCATTTATGCACGCACGTAGTTTCCACTAGCAGAACATTAGAAAACCCTTCGGGGTTGCAGGCATCTAACAGCCTACAGCAGTGGTCGGCAAACTGCGGCTCGCGAGCCACATGCGGCTCTTTGGCCCCTCGAGTGTGGCTCTTCCTAAGCCTTAGGAGTACCCTAATTAAGTTAATAACAATGTACCTACCTATATAGTTTAAGTTTAAAAAATTTGGCTCTCAAAAGAAATTTCAATCGTTGTACTGTTGATATTTGGCTCTGTTGACTAATGAGTTTGCCGACCACTGGCTACAGGGACAACTGATGTCGTGGGGACCTCACGGTCTCACGGACGAGCATGTAGGGCTCTTCTAGGTTCTGGATTCCCATCTCTGCTCCCTTTTCTGACTGCTTAGCTCACCTTGAGTTTTTGTTCTCTTTATCTCTCGCATTTCCTCCTACACCTACTAACAACAGACCTCTTTATATTTAGAACTATTGCCCTTCTTTATAAAATAGATAGATAGGTAGATAGATAGATAGATAGATAGATAGATAGATAGATAGATATAGATATATATAATTGATTTTAGAAAGGGAGAGAGAGATAGAAACATCAATGATGTGAGAGAATCATTGATGGGCTGCCTTTTGCACGCCCCATACTGGGGATCGAGCTCACAACCCGGGCATGTGCCCTGACCGGGAATCAAACCGTGACCCCCTGGTTCATAGGTCGATGTTCAACCACTGAGCCACACAGGCCGGCTATTTCCCTTCTTTGATCTTAGTACTTTATCAAATCATAACTGCCTCCTTCCTGAAATCCCATGAAGGCCCTTCCGTGAAGCTTATCCTAGAGACTGAGAGCAGGAATCTGCTCACCCTTTTCTCTCCAAAAGCAGAGTCTAGGCAGCACGTCCCCTCGGTGAGTCTGCCAGCATTTTGCTGCCCCTGAGTTGCTCCAACAGAGATAACTAAGATCCAGGAGACAGAGTCTCCATCCAGGGCTAGTCCTTTCCCAGAAAAAAACAAACATAACCAGTTGATATTATGATTGAAAATCCCATTCCACTTCCCTCAGGCATGTCAGCGTAACCCACCAAGCCACGTGGGAGGAATGGATGATGGTAACATAGACATTGGGGGTAGGAAAATAGCAGGGAACGTTTAACATAAATGTTATGTGACAGGAGCTGAAAATGAGCAAAGATAGCCATGACCAGGCTTCACTGACGGGGGTCCAGCAAGTTAGCAGCCTCTACTTTCTTCAGCATAGAGTCATTTCTCAATTACCTGGAGATTGCCCCATCTCTCCAGGCGGTTCTGGCTTTCTATTTCCCTTCGCAGATATCATTGTCACTATTTAAATGAGTCCTGGCAGATCACGCAACACTGAGTCATAGGTTTTATGGAAGGGGTGGCATTTTTCTTTTCTTAAAAACCAACAAAACAGATAGGATGACAACCACAAAGTAAACCTCCAATAACAACCACCAAGTTCGAATTAGGGGAAATTGGATGTCAATTAGTGCCTCCCAATACTGTTCTACTTAGTTGTTTCAACGTAACCTGGGCTGCCAATTAGAAGTAGATTTCTGGGACCCGCTGCTGACCTACGGAATCAAAATCTCTAAGGAGACATTTGTGAATGAAAGAAATCTCCGTTCTCCTGAAGCTGATACTCTGGTGGAAGAGAAAGGCAAGTCATTAGATAAATATTTAGTAACTGATAAGCGCTAGAAAAACAACAACACACCACCATAAAGCAGGATAGAGGAATAGCAGTGATGGGCTTGAGGGTGGAACTGTATTAATTTGGATGGCGTAGGAAGGTCACTCGAAGGAAGTTATATTTAAGAAGAATCCTGGTTATGGAGTGAGCCACATGAGCATTTGGGGGCAGAGCATGCCAGTTTGAGGGAATATATATGAAGGCTCCTAGATG